ATGGTTTCAGAAGAGAACAACGCAAGAAGCCAGATTTTAGATCAGATTATAGAATGGGTATCTGAGAATCCTGGTTCGAATATTATGCTAATCGGGAACCGCATTTCAAGAGACTATGCTATCCTCGGCGCTCTTGTTGATGAGAGATCATGCTATTTGCAATCAAAAAGCATCACCATGGCCAGTGCTACTTGATATGGTAAGTTCAGTATGGCTTTGGGAAAGCCTAGCATTTGGAGGGAAGCCGATTACGCTTAGTAAGAACTGGTTGCGAGGATAAGAATGATACTGGTTCAAAGGGCATTATGAAGCAAGCACGAAGATATCTCTCCTTGTTCTTCCTCTGCTGATGTTTGTATTCCATATATAATGCCAAAAAGTACGTTTGTCACTAAAAAATGAGCAAGTTACATTAGTATTTCTAGTTTGTTATGTATGACTTATGAGTTTGTATTATGGAGTATTATTTTATGTCATGTATGACTAGTGAGTTTGTATTATTATCTGTCTAAAACAATGTAGTGTCAGTGAATGAATTAGACTACAAAATTGGAAATTCCTGTGAGAAATGACTCATCTTAAAATGTAATATTAATACAGCATATGATTATACAGTATAATTTATACTATAAGCAAAAGAATAATTTTGTTGGTCTGGGCCTGGTAGATAACAAAAACAGGCCCAATTGTATTTATCATAAATTAGTGTGTGAGAATTAACGATACCAATCCATATATATTTAGGTTAAAATCACATCTCCTCCTCTACTCTCATAAAATCAAAATTAGCCGCCTACCAAACCTAATTTCAGATCTCCTCTACACTGAGCCAACTCTAGCAGCGCAATGCTGGTCTGGTGCCCTTATTGTAGGTAAGACCGTCTAAGGATCCGACGGTTTTGCTCCGATAAGGCCACCAGAGCGGCAACATTTGTGTCTTTCTTTTGTTGCACGTCTCTTCAGTATTAACAACAATTGTCGTAATGAATCAAAATAATCAAAAACAAATTATCAAAATAATTGTATTGGTAGAGAATCAAAGTTGAACGAGTTTTTATAAATTCTCATTTCTCTCTTTCGCTTAAACCGTTTTTACAATTCGAACCTCGTTGTCGGTTTACCTGTACATTGCAATTCTTAAACCAAAATCAAGTTTTGAATTATGAAAAACAATTAACCAGTAGATATCGTCCACGTGGAAACACAACCAGAGATTATGAAATTAGGCTCACAATTTCTGAGGCTTAAACACTGAAAATGGCTAGGTCTAAGTCGCAATCAGGGTTGGTATTACCAGAGATTGTGAGTTCTGTATGGCTTTTGGAAAGCTTATCAGCTGGAGATGGACTTAAAAGACGGGTGTGTTTTGGGACATGGAGGATTGTGGAATCCCGAATGGTCTCGATCTTGATACGGTTTATGAGAACATCAAATCAGCTCTTGCGGATATGAATCATCGTGGTCCGGTGTCGATCAAAGCTTATGGTGATACAAATCAGTCCCAAGGTGGGTTTCAATCTGACGGAATCGAGCTTGTACACGCAGGTAAACTCTTTGGCTTAAGTTAATCGGGAAAGACATCTCAAAAGACTCGTCTTTCTTCCGCGCTCTTCAGTCTATGAGATCGTCCAATTGCAATGTTCTCTTAGCGCAGCCACAAGAAGCATCAGGACAGCTACTTACAATGGTAAGTTCAGTGTGTCTTTGGGAAAGCCTAGCATTTGGAGGAAAGCCGATTACCGAAAGCGAATGAGAGCAGAGCTTAGTGACGAGGATAAGAAGGATACTTGTTCTAAGGGCATTATGAAGCAAGCACCGAATATATCTCTCCTTGTTCTTCCTCTGTTGATGTTTGTGTTCCATAATGCCAGAAAGTACTTTTGACTAAAAATGAGTAGTTACATTAGTATTTCTAGTTTGTTATGTATGGACTTAGTATTGTGGAGTATTATTGTCTGTTATGTATGGACTTATGAGTTAGTATTGTGGAGTACTATTATCTGTCTAAAATAACATAGTGAATGAATTAGTTTAAGCTATAAATTTGAAAATTTGTGCGGGAAATGAGTCATCTTAAAATGCAATATTAATACACATTGAAATTCTCTTTGAGAGATTGAAAGCATTTTGTGATTATATTAAGCAGAAGAATAATCTTGTTGGCTGGGCCTGATAGATATCAAATAGGCCCAGTAATAATAATCATTTGCGGCGTATGTTAGCGTTACATGTTTAGGATAACGCTTAAAAAACAAGGCTCGAAGCGGTTCCTTCTCTTATCTGAAACTAGAGACCACTCTTGTGTCGAAGCAACCAACCAAAGTCTTCTTCTTTACTTTACACAGAGAGCATCAATGGCTTCTTCGGCTTCAATGCAGATGGTTCACACATCACGCTCCGTTTCTCAGGTTCGCAATTCAATCAAAATCCTACATTTTGGGGGTTTTTCTCCATTTTCGTTGCTTTGAATTCGTAAAAATCGATGCTTTTTTCACTTTCGTTTACTGGGTTTTAGTGTTTGCCATTGAATTATGCTCTGTTTGTGAATTTTGGGTATTAAAACTC